AGCTCGGACCGAGGCTCAGATAATTTGAGCGTGTAAATATGTATTTTGAGTTCGAGTATGGCTTTCAGACTCGAGCCCGACCGTGTAACGGTGTATTTTGAGTTCGAGTCGGAATGTAAGCTTTTGACTCTGACTGAGTCTGTGTATTTTTAGTTCGAGGTAAGCAAGCCCCTTGACTTTGACTTTTTAGTCTACGAGCCTCATTTTGCTGTGCTGTTGAGCCTGAGGCTTGGAGGTCCTCGGCGTTGTAAGTATACAGCTGTCAGCGTGTAGGCCGACGAACAAAGGTGAAGGTTATTCGAGGAGTTCAGAGTTGTCCACGGCGTTCAAGATTATGCATCTATTGGTTTGAATTTCATAAGAGTTATTAAAGTGATAGAAAACACTTCTCGGCGCGGGGGTCGAGTTGAGTCCAGTGGGCGTCGGAAGATGAGGTGTGTTGAGAGGATAAATACCGAATGGAGTTGGCAATCTTGATTATCCTGGGCCCTGGGTAGCCATCGAAGTGAAAGACAATTTATCGATACACAATGTTGTTCAAGTTGGAGGTAAGCAAGCCCCTTGACTTTCACTCTTGAGTCTACGAGCCTCATTTCACTGCGCTGTTGAGCCTGAGGCTTGGAGGTGTACTCGGCGTTGTAAGAGCTGTCATTGTGTAGGCCGACGAACAAAGGTGAAGGTTATATGAGGAGTTCAAAGTTGTCCACGGTGTTCAAGCTACCCCATCTATTGGTTTGAATTTCATCAGAGTTATTGGAGTGATAGGAAACACTTTTCGCGGGGGTCGAGTTGAGTCCAAGTGGGCGTCGGGAGATGAGGGTGTTTTGAGGAGGATAAATGCCGAACGGGCCACAAGTGAAAGACAATCTATCGATACACAACGTTGTTCATGTTCAATCATGGCGCTGTAGTGTAGCGGTTATCACTCGAGATTCTGAATACCAATTTTCTCGAAACCCAGGTTCGATTCCTGGCAGTGCCTTGAACAAGTTCCAATTGGGATGAGTTTTTACGATACTAATGTATATGGCCGTCAGGACGCGTAGAATTGGAAATAATACCGAGCCATTTTCAGGGATGATCCTGGGACCGGTCTAGGCTTGGTCAAATTTATTAGTTAAATCGGGCTATTGAAGAGCGGTTGTGACTGAAGAGATGGACGAAGGTTTGGACATAGGGTAGTTCAGGCGTAGCTTGCAGAAAAGAATCTGATTCTTCGAGTCCGAAAGTTCTTGAGGCTGAGCTCTCCTCCTGAAAGAGAAAGAAACTGAAGAAGCTAACTATAAGGGACTAGTTTATAAGTAGGAACGAGTATAGATGCAGTAGAATGTAACATGAATGAAATAGGGATGGTGGGGGGGCAAAAAACGCGTGATGTAATGTGGGCGTATCTAGTATCTGAGACGACGATGGAGACATCCGAAAGGACTTACCTGCAAGCGCAGCGCGAGACGACGATGTCATTCACGGTCTGCACTTGCTGGTATATAGGTGAATGGAACAATGAGAAAGGGACGGTGAGGTAGTGATATTGAATGAGGGTGAAAGAGACAATGGTGGGCCCGAATTAACCCCGGGCAACTCCCCTCTCCTACTTGCCCGATCCACAAGGACCAAGTCATTCGTGTCAGACTTACCAGACTTATATCTACAGAGAGGAGACCCACTTATAGTACGCCAAAGCCCTATTCTATTGAGGTACGATCGATAGACCAAGTGGTTCTCGTGTGTCGATGGCGTAGTATTGGATTCTTTCCCCATATACCCATTGGGGCCTTGCCCCATGTCGGGTTCTCTATCTTGCTAGTCATTTGTCTACCTCTCCTGTCGGAAGTACTACCTTGATCTATCAGCGTTTGCGCCCGGGATTAGGCTAGCTACCGTATTATGCCCCTTCTAGAGAAGAAGGGAATCAAGTGAGGTTAGTATTGTACTTGAATATGGCCGTGGCTGCGGTCGCCATGTCGTCCGTTGTCGATGTCCCTCTAGGCTGGGTCCTCCTCCTCGTCAATGGGTACCTTGAAATCTCCATAAAGTCTTGAGAATCTCCCCGTCTCGGGGATATACTGGAATAATGGCTTCGTCATCGCTGCGCTGCTGAGCAGTGCAACTAGTACTGGCTCCTCGGGCTTGGTGTCCCTGGACAACGAGTAAGAAAGTGTTCCACCCCCTCGCAGGCTGTGCACGTGGGCGCCTCAACTTTCCGGAACCTGTAAAGGTACTGATTCAACGGGCGATGGCCTGTGCGTAGTTGTATCAAAAGAAAGGCGTTCTTTCGCGCAGTGACCCCAGTGTGGTGACGATGGCTTTGGTTCTAGACATGACTTCGACCGATTTGATTTTCTCGAAGCGCGGTGACGGTCTGATCCTCTGTTCCACTGCCCTGCGCGACGCCCTTTTGTGCCGCGTCAGTATGGTGCTCTAGATTTGCGCATCGTTCCTTGCAGGAAGGGGAGTAGTATTGGATTTATGCTTCGCATACTCGTTCAACAGTCAAAGAGATAGTGTATAAGATTTCTCCGGTAGCTGGTGTATAGAACTCGACTCGCGCCGATCACAATCGATCTCGCCGACCTCAATCCAGGTAAGATAATTTTTTATTATGAGGGAACTTCCTCTAACGATCCTCTGCATAGTATCATCGTTAGATAGTACACAATTTGATCTACCTACTGCAGCCTCTGGCTGAGGCGATAAAAATGCAGTTTTGCCAGGCATCGGACGCTGTTTTAGCTCCTGAAGAGTCCTTACTGGTGAATTTGATCATTAGAGCGTTTAGTTTTGCTTGTTGATTAAGAGGGGTATTCACCGTCAAGCGTTTTTATTTAGAACTGGAGCACGTTTTCGAGAGCGCAAAACATGACGTCACTGACACTGTTGCTCTCAGACCATGACTTTCATCCTCACAAAAGCCGGCAAGAAGCTTTTCGAGAAGCATCTCGAGCAATATGCACCACAGGACCCGCTGTACGAGTTCTACACTGATGAAAAGGGCAAGCAGAAGCGACGAAAGGTAATGGAGCACGAAACCCTAATAGACACACATTGACGAAGGGTACAATAACAGCGCTCGCTTCCTCCTGGTCTTTCGCCGCGCGACGCCAAGATTTTGAGCTCGGTCAAGCGGCGGGCACACTACCTGGACAAGGGGTTTCACTTTTGCGGGCTTCGCTTCGGGTGGACGTTCCTCATCGGGCTGATCCCAGTGATCGGAGACATTGTGAATGCAATGCTGAACCACTACCTCGTGATCCGCAAGGCAAAGCAGGCGGATGTGCCGGACTGGCTGGTGTCGCGTATGGTGCTGAACAATCTTCTGAGCGCGGCGGTGGGATTTGTGCCGCTTGTCGGCGACGTGATCGCGGCGGTGTTCAGGGCCAACAGTCGGAATGCGGGGCTGCTGGAGGAGATGCTGCGGCTGAGAGGGCAGGAGTACATTCGGCAGCAGGAAGGAGGCGCACAGCTGAGCGCGCGGGACGTCGACGAGGTGAAGCCTGGCTCGGGTTTCTGATGATGTCATCATACTAGTAGTCATATAAAGGCGCTTCAATTCTGGATGGAACTGAGAATGTCGTTCATTCTCGCAGCCAACGCCGGCTCGTCGTCGCTCAAGATTTCGCTCTTCAACAGAGCCGTCGACCTGCTTTTGACGTGCAGCATCTCCAACATCACCGCCCCGCCCGCCCAGTTCGCCTTCAACGGCACCACCGAGGCTCTCCCACTTGCCGACCATGCCTCTGCCTTTGCCCACTTCCTCGCCCGCATCAAGGACCCCTCCGACATCGCCTGCATCTGCCACCGCGTCGTCCATGGCGGCGACTACGCTGCCTCTGTCGTCATAGACCACGCAGCATACGACCACATCGCTGCTCTCTCCGACCTCGCCCCACTCCACAACGGCGCAGCCCTCGCAGTCATCAAAGCCTGTCTCGAGACCATGCCCAAGGCCAAAAGCATCGCCTACTTCGACTCGGCATTCCACACCACCATACCCCGCCACATCTCCTCATACCCCATCGACCAGTCCATCGCCCAAAAACGCGGCCTCAAGAAATACGGCTTCCACGGTCTCAGCTGTACGTACGTCACTTGTATCCCACCACGCGTCTGAGCCTTTTCCAGACTCATTCATCCTCCGCTCCGTCGCGCAGCACCTCGAACGGCCCCCATCCTCGCTCAACCTCATAGTCCTCCACCTCGGCTCCGGCGCCTCTGCCTGCGCAATCCAAGCCGGAAAATCCCTCGACACATCCATGGGCCTCACGCCCCTCAGCGGCCTCCCAGGCGCCACCCGCTCCGGCGCTGTCGATCCCTCCCTCATCTTCCACTACACCAACAAGGCCGGCCGTATCACGCACGACCCCGGCATGGCGGTCAATCTCCACGTTACGATGGCAGAGGATATCCTCAATCGCAAGAGCGGGTGGAAGGTCCTGACTGGTACGACTGATTTTGCGGAGATTGTGAAGAGGGCGAGGATTGATGTTGATGCGAGGAAGGCGCATGTGAATGGGAATGACGAGGAGGACAAGTGGACGTTGGCGTTTGATTTGTTTGTGGATAGGATATTGGACTTTGTAGGTGCGTATCATTTGAAGCTTGGTGCTGCCGTCGACGCGCTCGTGTTTTCTGGTGGAATTGGCGAGAGGAGTAAGGAGCTGAGAGAGGTCGTCGCTGCTCGGGCAAGGTGTCTTGGGTATGCCAAGGTTGATCCCGCAAAGAACGCAGAGCTCGGCGAGGGTGTCGTGGTTGACATTGGACTGAGAGGCGAAGGGAAGGGCGAGAAGGAGAAGCGGGTTCTAGTCTGTAGGACGGATGAGCAGGTGTGTTTGTGTTGTGTTCTTTGTCACCGCGTGTATTAACGGTTATGGTAGCTTGAGATGGCGAGGTCTTGTGCCCTCGACGAGAGGTTTTGGAATTAAAATGCAGCGTTGAAGAGATTTGATGTACACTTGTTTCGATATTCAAAAGGAAAAATCTGGATCACACAACCAGGAGAATGGGGGCACCGCGGATCGAACGCGGGACCTTCAGAATAAGGAGATGTTATAGCGTCACTTCAGTCTGCTGCTCTCCCAGCTGAGCTATGCCCCCATTATCATTCATCGCGTCAGCTAACAATATGAACGTACAGAGACATAAACGGTACATTGAGTAAGTCCTACGAGGGATCTATGATCTGCCGCTGGGAAATCTGCGCACAAAAGAGAAGTACAAAAATGCAAAAAAAACACCTCGTCAGCTAATGGGGGCACCGCGAATCAAACGCCGAACCTTCAGAATTTAAATGCACGGATCAGTCACTATACTTCAGTCTGCTGCTCTCCCAGCTGAGCTATGCCCCCGATATCCACAACATCGCTCGTTGCGTTGACTACTCGGGTGAACCGAGGCAGAACTGTACAACCATATGCTCGAATCTGACGAGGATCCGCCCAGAAGAGAAAAATAAGAGTTGACAAATCATGGCTAATATTGGGGGCACCGCGGATTGAACGCGGGACTTTGAGAAGAATTGATATATAGCAACCTTCATTCGGTCTGCTACTCTCCTACGTGAGCTATGCCCCCGGATGCTTGGAAATATAGGTTGTAGGACAAGACATGTCCCGGCACAAGCTCCCAACTGATTTCTCTGCTATTGACGCGCATGCATGAGTCCGTTTCATGGCTTTTGAGGTTATGTTAAAAGTTATTGAAGTTGTTTAGGAATGGGTGATATTGATCCAAAGTCACATCAAGTCAAGTGAATATAAACGGTCGTTCGTCAACGTTATGGCGCGGGGTTGCAATGAAATATGTACATGTATCGATTGAAGATGCTAGTTTATTGTCATGTTCAAGGTTGCGTCTAATCATGTGAACCACGATATCTAGAAGAGGAACCTAGTGCTGTCGCAATAGGGTACTTACTCTGCTACTTCATAGACAACACACTACACTCAGGTCCTTCGGGGCCAGCCCGCAAAATGAATTGCAGAAAAGGGCAGGAGAGTGAGGATGGTGGTAATAAAAATTAAAGTAGAAGTATATGAATGAATGTAAGCGATGGGCGCGGCGTACCCTGTGTCGATGCGTGAGGAGAAGATCAGTAGAGATTCAATATTCAGAGACGGCTGCTTAGAGTAGCCTGAGGTGGAATATAAATAGTGCTTAGTGAACGCTGAGCTCTAGTGAACGGGTCTCATATCGCAGTTCGGGATCGTTTGACATATGTTCATTGAAGAGGATTCATTAGAGTGTAAGGGGTCATCAAAGTTGGAAGTATGGATAGTATGTCAAAAGGAATCGCAAGTGGGGGCACCGCGGATTGAACGCGGGACCTTCAGAAAGATGCCGGAAGAGTAAGTTACTTCAGTCTGCTGCTCTCCCAACTGAGCTATGCCCCCAATATTGGCACGCGGGATCCTGCAGTATGCTATTAGCGTAACATGCCTTCTGGAAAGACAAACAACAAAGCAGCATGTATCTGACGCTTAAAAGAATCTCACGTATCCAGATGAGACCTTGAGATAGATCTGCCACATGCACAACACGAATGCCAAAGCAAACATTAACGTTGATATCCAAGCGCACATCATTCATATATATACCGCCGCTGAACTGGCGTCGAACGTGAGTTTAAGGAAGCTTAGAGCAACCAAAAAGAATGCACACAAATAATCCTATCCCTTTTAGTGTTTCCCAAGGACCCTCTAGAAACGCCGCTTCGAAGTCGGAGGCGGAGGCGGCAGTTTCACGTCCTCAAAATCCCATTCGTTCGACGTCAGCGCTGGCAGTCCAAGTCCTGACTTGCCCACCGTCGATCTGATACCGCGCGCAGGCGTCATTAATGTCGGGTTTAAAGTCTGTAGTCCGACGCGTGGTTGCGCCGTGGTGGATTCCGCGGCCTCTAATTTGGAGCTTGTGTTTGGCGTAGTTTGGCTTGTGGAATCTACGGCACTTGGAGGTTGAGGAACCGAGTCTATCGTCTCTACGTCGCCCGCTTGGGGTGCCCTCGTGGTAGAGGGGAGTGTAGAAGCCGAGATCGGGGGGGAACTGTTCCTTGGGTCAGGCTCCACCGACATTTTTTGGAACGACCGCGTTAAGGAACTACGAAATAAGGTATTACTATTTTCAGAAATGAGTTGCCCGGCGTGATTGTAGGGAATCCCTTACTGGATTTGTTGATTGCGGACGCGGCTCCAAGTTTTACATGTCTCTTTGAATTGTAACAAGATGGTCGCCAAGTCATTGTAAAACTGCCAATAGGAGAAAGACACGGTTTGGTTAGCCCAGGAACAACACAACGACATGAAGACGATAGGCGCCAGCGCTTCACGAAAGGATATGAATCATCTGCCAACGTACCTTGATCCCCTCATCGAGATTTCCCATGATTTCTCGATATTTGTGATACGCAAGATCCAGGTTCTGCAAAGCATGTTCCCGCTCCTTAACCGCGGGATCATCCTTCCGTGAACGCAAGAAGAGTTCATTCAGACGCTAAACCCACAAACCACATGAACACGTAGGAAAAATAATCATTATGTACATGAGTAACGGACTTCAGCCACATTGGATGAAAAAAAAAATAAGTCGCACCTGAATCTCGGCGATTATAGCCACCTGACGTTGCCTAATATCACTCATCTCCACGAGGAACTTATCATATTTCGCTAGTTCCTCGTCTGACACATCCTCGAACATTGCGGGCGTCACCTCCGCAAGCCGGGCGAATCCCGCAGCGACCTTCGTCACGCGCCCTCGAATATCGTCTGCGGCCGCAAGAGTTTGAACGCGCCGAACGAGCTGTTCGCGAGTCCGGTGCAGATCATCAAGAGCCTCAATTTGTACGCGTAGCGCTCGTGCATGGTTTTGTGTTTCCCGACCCTGCGTAGTTGTTGCGGCGGAGGATGAAATTGTTGAGGAAGGTATAGACGTTTCGAGATCGCCCTGCAATTCAATAGAATGAAGAGGAATAAGTCGAGGCAGCATATCATGATCGATCGTTACATACCTCGTCCCATGTGAGCTCGACAATTTTTTGTTCCCATTCATCCCACTTCTGGCGTACAGTTTCGTCACTTGCGGCTGCTTGCATCAGGATAGTGCGATACCGTTTCTCCTTTGTTATCAGTTCGACATTTGCTTCGTGGGATGGCAGCCTGTCCAGAGTGCTGAATTTGCGCGCAGCTTCATCCTCTGATGCTTCATTATCCAGAATGTCCATTGCCTGGCAAACGCATAGGTCAGATAGGCGCCATCAAAAACATCTGACTCTGACTTCATCCAGAATAGCTTGGTCTTGTTGAGCCAGCCGCTGAACATCTTCTATAGAAACTTCAATCTTTGTAGGACCATCTTCGAGGCGTATTTCCTCGGCCTTGCGGAGCAGACTCGGGGGCAGGCCTATTGGGCGCTCCAGAGCTTCTAAAGATGATGGTAGATGCATAATCCGAAGACCTCTATGACCACATGAATCACTGGTACACAAGGAACGAGTACGCGCTCACTGATCCGCCGTATCTTGTAATTCTGCTGACACGTCAAGTATATTCTGCTTAACCAGGTTTTGTCGTCTATCATTGTAGATATCTAGAAAAAGGCAGTGAGAAATCAAAACATGCCGTCAAACATGCCGTCAAAGCGGGGCTTACTGATGGCTTCTTTGGCACCCCATCCCACCAATTCCCCAAAGATTAATCTCCCGCTTCCAATGAGAGTCGTAAGATCAGATAGAGTGGATGGTACCATGGAAGACACGAGATTCGTTTGGGCGATCGCAATGAGGGCCGGTGAAGCGGGAACATCGTGATGGTAGATGAGATCATTGTCACGTTCAGCTCGGCTTAGATTTTTCTGAATAATCTCGAGCAAGGACTACCAAAATTGCTTTGTCACTTTAGGTCGCATGAGAAAAGAGAACACTACCTGAATGTCTTGCATGACAGGGGGTGCTATTCGTCCACGCCGGGCAACATCATATGCCTTCTTCGCCTCTACCTGTGCTTCTTGTAACCTTGCAATTTCAACTCCGTAACTGGAAGTTGATGACGTTGGTGAGTCGAGAATAGATAATTGATGTGAAGCCGAAGCCGAACCTACTAGCCTCGATCTCGTCCATGCTCTTTCGGTATTGTGATACCGCTGAGAAATGATGGAATTTGGCTTCAATATGGGGAAGCCAGTCCTACAAAAGGAGGTAAAAATGGATCTTTTCAATCTTTCTAGATAACTTACTGATGGAAAAATGTCCTTGATCGAAGGTGATGCTCCACGGATGGTCTGAGAGGTTGCTTGGTACAACGAGGCCACCTATAAAGCGTTTCTGTAGGATTAGCTTAACAAATTGAGAAACAAAATACCCGGGCAGCAACTTTTGCAATGAGAGCATTTTTGTATTGATCTAGAGAGAGTTGAGAAATGCACCTTTCATTTGTATTGGAATCTGCCCACTCATTCTAGCCATTTGCCAGGAGCATTCCTGAGCTTGAGCTAGCATAAGCAACTCAAGTGATGTTATAAACGTGTCAGAAAGATCTCGTGCAATATCTTCATCAGGCGGATATACTATTTTCGAGGCAGCTGATGTTCTTAGAAAGGAAAGCACCCCTGCTGCATACTATAATATGGTAAAATTCATTTCAAGTCTTTCGAAAGACGATACATACTTGATAATTTGTCGTAGCACGTTTAATACCGTCTGTTGTCGATCGATCTTCAGATGTGGCGAGCTGGGAGTACAAAGAAGCGAGGTTGAAAAGAACACCACATCGTTCGAAAACAAGACTCTTCAAAGTTACTGGTACAGCATTTTCCTGAAACACAGGAGCATACGCAATGTCCAATCCTATCTGAATGAGACTACTGAGGTCAATCCTAAATGTCATTTCGATCTAGCGACTCACATCTGCCGGAAGTTTCGTCAAGATGGAGACAAGCTGTGCATGGTAGCTTAAGAAAGGAACGATTCAGCTGTGCGATATCAAAATCATAGATTTTAGCACGGACAGCAGAGAAGTATTGATCCGATTGACATGCACCACACCGCCTACACCATCTTTCCTGAGGTTTTGCCAGAGGTTGATGTCATCTTTAAACTCGTCTGGGTGTCCTCCACCGTGCGCATAAATATAATTTCGCGTTGCTTCCTTAACACTGACTGGGTAGGTCTTCTTAAATGGTATGGTAAGAAGATTCGACATTTGTCGAAAGATTCAATATCGACAAGTGAAACTCTAGGCTTGAAAGGGAGTTGAGAGCAAAGAGAGCCGAGGCCAGTCTGAATACTAAATTCTTCTCAGTTCCTTGACGGTGTTAAGATGATCTGTATGAAGAAAAAGAAGGTTGCACAGCTGAGGTTGAGGGTGATTAACATCCGACTTCCGAGATCGCATAAGGGTCGGAGTTCTTTTAAGGCAAGTTCCGAAGTCAGCTGAAGCCTGAGGAACCAGTATGTACTTAGGTTGCCAAAGTCCATCCATCCCTATCCATCCGTGCTTGAATCATGAGTTGAGTAGATGTCTACATTTCCGAGGTCCCGAGTATATTATGTCGAACTTCGGAACTTCCCACAACTGCTCTCCGAGATCGGGGCTTTTTGGTCGTGAGAATAAAACAGCCATCGATCAAACGGTGACCCAAAAAACTCCTGAGCCCGGACTGTGTTATCTATCTCAAGCAGTTAGAATTCTATCTAGAGCTATGCACAACTCAAAAGATATTTTGGGGTGTCCTTCGTGCAACACCTAGGCAACAATACAGCATCACAGTCTGAAACTGCATGGCAAACCTATCTATATATTTTTCACCTATGTTGTCCCATACCCACGGACACTTTTTCCACCCTTTTCTTTTGCATCTATTGATAAGAACGAATTATAAACGGTGTGTGGAGACTTTTTGACGTCAGACTACTTCCGCATTGTTTGTGGCGCATGCTCGTCGTGAAGGAACGCCCACACTTATCAACAACTACCAATAACGTCACAGGAAGTAAGTTACCCATGCTTGGATTTTTAGCTCCCGAGACCTCATGTTCGGGTTCCCACTCCACCATTCTTATACTATAGTCTTGTCATCTTGTCCTTCTTCGTCCCTTGCATTGACAGGATCACCATTCGGCTCATGGCCGTACTATCTCTGACATAGATTTAACCACAAATCTATTTGGTAATTCGGCTATTTCCATCCTTTCTCTCTCTGATAATTGAGCCCTTTGATTCTGCCCGAATCCAGGATTGAAAAACAGTATGGTATGCATAAATACCACGACTCATCAACCGACATGTTCTACGCTCCAGCATTGTATCTCAGTCTCAGACACCTTTCTGCTCCAGCATGCCTGTTGGAATGAACGCCTTCAACGCCGATGTCAATCACAACATCAAAGGTGATGTCTACAATT